TATCATTTTACTTCCTTATGTCATCTGTGGATTGTATGTCTCATGAACAATCAAAATGGAAGTATAACTTGCAAGATTGGCATGAGTTACTGAAGTCATTTTTAAGGTCTGTACTGTAAAACAAACCACTAAGTATATCAGCTAGAAAACATCTTGGAGGTTCTTTTAAAAACTCAAAGGTGGATCAGAACATCATGATGAAAATTTGCTATTCTGAAATGAAATGGTATCTTCAAGGGGTTACAATTACATGGGAAAGGTGATGAGTACATTTCTTATCAAGCATTGTTGCCTCCTTCTTTGTTTCCCCGTCCCATCCCCCCTATTCCCCCCCAAATCCCTGCCCCAAATTGTAAAGTTTGTTTTTTGACATAACGACTTGTACATCTCATTGTTGCAATGGGTCCACCTGTATCCCTATTTAAACAATTACTTTTTTTTCCCTTCCCCTCTACAAATTATACCAACATCAAATACAGTGAAAACAGGGGTTATACTGTGGGGGAGAGATACAAAGCAACAAAGAAATCATCTTATAAATATGTTAGAAACAATTGCAAGAAAGAAAAACCATTTGAGTCCTTATCTTGGGGTTCATTTCACATAACATCAACTTATCTGACCATATCTGCTTGTCTCAGACATATATTAGTAATTGCAAATAGGGGAAACCATGGGACCTATGTTCCTATGTTTCTTTGGGCCTGGTTTACTTCACTTAAATTAATAAAATTATATTAAGTGGATTCTATTAATTTAAATCTGATTTGATTTTAATTATTTGTTTCTATATACTGGATTGAGGATTGGCTTGTTGCTCTTTTTTCAAGGAACTTTAGGTGCATCATTAAATTGTTAGCTTGAGATCTCTCCAATTTGTTGATGTAACAGCTCAGAGCTATGAATGTTCCTCTGAGTACTGCCTTTGCTGTGTCCAAGAGGAGCTGGTAATTTGTATGTTCATTTTTGTTAAATATCATGAACATTTGAAGTTCCTTTCTAATCTTTTCCATGACCCATTTGTGGTTCAACAGTGTGTTGTTCAGCCTCCATGTGTTGTAGGATTTTCTTTGGTGTCATTTTTATTGAGTTCTGATTTTATTCTTTTGTGGTCTAAGAGAATGCAGGGCATAATTTCAATTTTTCTGAATTTGGACAGATTTGCTTTGTGACATAAGATGTCTATTTTGGAGAATGTTCCATATGCTGCTGAGAGGAATGTGTAATCTGTTGCTGTTGGGTGAAATATTCTAGCGTTCTGTTAAGTCTAGTTGGTTTATGCAGTTGTTTAGATTTGCTATTTCTCTATTGAGTTTTTACTGAGTTGATTTATCCAGTGGGTAAGGTGTGTGTTAATGTCACCAACAATTAATGTCTTTGGATCTATGTGTGATTTTGTGGAAAGTAGTATTTATTGGATAAATTTGGGTGCTCCTGTATTCAGCAAATAGATATTTAGAATTGTTAGATCCTTCTGTATAACATATTAGTATGTAGTGTCCATCTTTATCTCTTTTCACTACTTTTAATTTGAAGTCTATTTTATCTGATATTAGAATTTCTACTCCAGCCTGTTTGTAGGGGCTGTGTGCTTGGTAGATTTTAGTACAGCCTTTCACTTTCAGAATGTTTGTTTTTGTGGTGAAGGTGCATCTCTTTAAGACAGCAGATAGACAGGTCCTGTTTTTTGATTCAACTAGAGATTCTATGTCATTTGACTGGATAGTTAAGTCCATTAATATTGAGAATTAGGATTGAGAGGTATTTGGAAGTTCCTGTCATGTTATCTACCTTCTTAGGGGCTGTGTCACCTAGGTTCTGAATCTTTTCCTTTGTTTTAGGGCTGTTTCTCTGCCTTCATCATGTTCTAGTTGGTTCTTTATGTGTAGGACATCTTTAGTATCTTTTGTAGTGCTGGTTTGGGGGAGATATATATTTTCAGTTTTTCTTTGCTGTGGAAGGTTTTTATTTTTCCCTCAGTTATGAAGGAGAGTTTAGCAGGGTACACTATTCTTGGTTGATAATTGTTTATCTTTAGAGCGTGGCATACTTCAGTCCTGGCTCTTCTTGCTTTCACGGTCTCTGCTGAGAACCCTGTAGTTATCCTGATTGGTTTTCCTTTATAGGTGATTGATCTTTTCTCCCTGACAGCTTTAAGGATCCTTTCCTTGGTTTCTATTGATCCTGTGCAGATTACAATGTGGTGGTATGATATCCTGTTCTGGTCTGGTCTATTTGGTGCTCTAAAGGCTGTAGATGCAAAGACTTTGGGAATTTACAATCAATGATGGGTATTTTCTCTCTATGTTACCTTTTTGGGAGTGTGATCATATTCTATTACACACCAGAACACACAACTAAGACTAGCACTTACCCAAAGCATGGTAGTAGCACAGACAATCAACAATGGGAGTTTTCACAGTATCTCACCTTTTTGGAGAGTGAGATTATATCAATTATATACTAAATCACAATTCTAAGACAAATCCCCACACAGAGCTCTGTAGTTATGCAGGAATTGGAGGTTGACACTCAAAATGGGTATTTTTTTACTCTATTTCTCCTTTGTGGAATTGTAAATATCTCTACTTCCTCACCAGAACACAATTTTATGGCGAGCCTGAACCCAAAGCACTTCAGTTACACAGACTTTGGAGGTTCTCATTCAAAGATAGATGCTTACCCTATATCTCTCCTTTTTGGGAGATGAAAGTATATCCAGTCCCTCACCAGCACACAATTTCAAGATAAGCACCAACTCAGAGCCCTGTGGTTGGGAAGATTTTGGAGGTACACAATCCAAATAGGTATTTCACTCTATCTCTCCTCTATTAGATATGCATCTAATAGAGGAGGCCCAATACCACCACTGAGCACAATTTCACACTGGGCACTTTGCACTGATTTTAGAGGCTCCCACTTGTAGATAGGTATTCCCTTATTAATCTCTGCTAATCTTTGTCAGGGAGGGGGTATTGTGTTTTAGAAGTGGGGATTATAAACAGTTGTAATCAGTGAGTAGCTTTGTTCTGAGGTGTTGGATGGTTTGGGCTGAAGGGGTAACACCCTGATCCACTTTGACACAGAAGGGGTAACACCCTGAGCCACTTTGACACAATCTCACTGACTACAGATATAGTCTAGCTCAATATTTCACACTTGGAGAGCAATAGAGTAAAGAAATCAAAGAGGGAATGAAGGAGTAGAAGTATTTGTAAATGTGTGAGGTGTAATTAGCGGAAAGGTTAAGATATACAATGAAATACAGGAGGAGAAAAATCATATTAGAGGGATGTAGCAAAGGAAAGGAACAGAAGGAGAAAAGCTATAACCTAACTTCTAAGTAAGAAAGAGAAGAAAAATCAAAACAAAACAAGAAAAAAAACCCAAAAAACAAAAAGAACAAAAAAGCAACAAAAAACCAAAATGAAAACAAAAAGGAAAGAAGAAAAGAATATATACAAAATAAAAAATTAGAACAATTATGTACATTAGAAATAATAATACTAAAATTAAGAATACTAATATTGTCATGTAGGGAATTGGGTAATCAATTTATACTCTGAGTGAAGTCTATGCATAGCTCTGGAGGAAGCCTAGTCATCACCACAGGCTGTGTATCCAGTTGTGAACAGAATAGCAATGAGGAAGGGGAAAAAAACAACAACAGGACTATTGCTATAAGAAAAAACAAGAAAACAAAACTTAAACCAAAACATATAAAAAACTGACCGAAAAAAGGTAGCAGAGAGTTTAGTTGCAAAAAATAAAAAGTATAGGAGCAAAAACTTTTTTAAGAAGTAAAAAAATGAAAAAATATGTAATTGGAGAAATAGGAAAAAGAGAAAAAAGTATTTTCTATTTATTTGGGGGCTCTTATGTCTCCCCTGAGTCTGCATTCCAGTCCCTTGATGGCATCTTTGATTTGTTTATAGTGTTCCTTTTCCTGGTTGCTTGGTTGGTTTCTCAAATCAACTTGTTTGGGTGTACAGAAAAAAGTTCTTCTGTACAGGCTTTAGAGCTTTGTGACCTTCTTCCCAGGCTAAAAAGCAAGATCTGCTTTTTTTTCTTTGAGCTGCCAGGAGGAGGTGGCTGGAGACTATAGTTTGTTGCTGCTGGGACTGAGTTTGAGCATGGTTGAGGTTTTGGCCTGTCTGGACTCAGTGGCTTTTCCCATGTTGGAGTGCCCCCTTTGGGCCACTGACCTGTATCCTCTCAAGGTTTTGTAGCCTGTCCAGTTTTTATTTATTATCCTCGCTGGAGGAGGTGGGTAAAGAGATGTGGCCTTCCGTCTCTGACCATTTGCCTCAACCTTGTCTGGCCAGTCCCATGACAGCCTCTGGTGGCTGTGTCAACTGCTTGTGCTCAAATCTGTCTTCTGGTACAAACTGCCTGAATTTTTTCTCACTAGGCAAAATCTCTGTACTTTTAGGGCTCACTTGGTGTGATTTTCCCATAGCGAATTATTCCCTGAACTGCAAAAGCTGGTTTCTAGGAGAGAGCTCACAAGTAGCCCAGCTATATCTCCACCATCTTCCTCTGGTTTCCTGAATATTAATTTTAAAACAAATGATTAAAATATTTTATTTATTTCCTCAATGGTTTGCTGAGCACTCCCTGAGTGTCAGGGTAACATTAGACCAAAAATATTTGAATAACGCAGAAGGTAAGACTTTTATTTGTAATAATCTTCTTTCTTACAGACTCAGAAGAGAAAATAGAGATCAAAAGTGCTTTTATGAGTGGAATCCAAGAAGACAACTAGACCCACTTTAGAGCATTTGTGCAAAATTTCATTCTGGAATAATTTTCCTCATCATACTTTGTTCTGTCTTTGACTTCTTCTAGGTGCATTTTCAAGCTATATTCTGGAGTTCTCTTACAATAGCTCAGATGCTCTGGATTAAAGTCTTGAAGACATCAGTGAGGCACAAGCTATTTGCAAACCTTTCAGAGTGTTGGCCGCTGACACATCTGTGTGGTACATTGATTCCACCAGAATGGGCAATCACACCACAGTGAGCACATTCCTCCTCTGGGGATTTTCTACTTTCCCTGAAGTGCAAGATCTACTCTTTGTTGTGATTTTCATCTCCCATCTGACCATCCTACTGGCAAACATGTCCATAATGGTAGCCATCAAGCTCAACCACAGCCTTCACACTCCCATGTATTTTTTCCTCTTTGGTCTGTCCTTGTCAGAAACCTGCACCACGATGGTAATCCTGCCTCGTACACTAGTGGACTTGTTGTCAGAAAGCAAGACCATTTCTCTCACTGAGTGTGCCACACAGATGTTTTTCTTCTTTGGCTTAGCAGCTAACAACTGCTTTATCATGGCCGCCATGTCCTATGACCGTTACACTGCCATCCACAGTCCCCTTCAGTACCCCATCTTTATGACAAGAAAGATCTGCTTCCAGCTCATGGTGGCCTCTTGTGTGGTTGGGTTCCTGATTTCTCTGTCCATTGTCTTTATAGTGTTCAATCTGTCTTTTTGTCACTCCACCACTATCCAACACTTCTTCTGTGACATCTCACCTGTAGTTCACCTTGCTTGTGATTACACATCTTATCATGCCATGGCTATTTTTGTACTGTCTGCCTTTGTGCTGGTGGGTAGCTTTGTTTTAATTATGATTTCCTACATCTTCATTGTGACTGTGGTTGTGAAGATGCCTTCCGCAAAAGGGCGGTACAAGACCTTCTCAACTTGTTCTTCTCACCTCACAGTTGTGTCTATGCACTATGGATTTGCTGGCTTTGTCTATTTGAGGCCCAAGAGCAGTGATGCCTTCTTTGAAGACATGCTCATGGCTGTAACCTATACCGTGCTGACACCTTTGCTTAACCCCATTGTGTATAGTCTACGGAACAAAGAAATGCAGATGGCACTCAGGAAAGTCCTGGGTAGTGCAATTAAAAATTTCCCTCAGTTAACAAGTAAAAAAGCTCTGAGCATTTAAACAGCATTTAAATTAGTGATAAACAAAATGGAAAAAGTATAGTACTTTCAATAAATATCATCACTTCATGTATACCTTAGTCTCATTGCCTGATATGTTTGTGACTCATGGTTTTCCTCCTATCAGTAGAATGTAGTTTTAAAACATTTAAAAATGTTATATACAAGCAATAAACATATTTAAATGGTTTGGAACATTGCTACTTTAATGATATTAGTTGTTTTTGGGGTGTAGGGAAAGAAAATTGCTTGAGAAGGAAGGAAGGAAAAGAAATGAGACAGAGAAAGAGAAGAGAGAAGAGTGAGGCAAATTAGTGGTTCAGAACTGACTGTTGAGAACTACAGGGAATATTCTCAAGCTGTTGTTACATGATGGCCAGTAGTTGACTTACACAGTCTAATGCATTGGCCATTATATAGTGATCATACATAGAAGATTGTCATATATTACTTCACATAAATTTCCATTAATCTGCATAGAGTAAAATGTGTAGATAAAATGAACTCTTGTTTTTTATTTTGTGTGCAGAGGTGATTATAATAGCTGGGCACACAATCAAGAAAACTAATAATGACAGATGCTAGTGGGGATGTGGCCAAAAGGGACATTATTACACTATTTGTGGGAATGTAAACCACTCTGGAAAGCATTCTTGAGGTTCCTCAAAAGATTAAACATAGAGCTTCCTTATGATCCAGCAATCCCACTCCTAGGCATTTATCCAAATGACCAGAAACCAGGCTGCACTAAAGCCACTAGCACAACTATGTTCATTGCAGCATTATTTACTTTCAGCTAACGTATGGAATCAACCTAGATGCCCCCCAGTGGAAGAATGGATCAAGAAAACGTGGGTATATATACACAGTGGAATTCTATGCTTCCTTCAGAAAGAATGACATTGCCCCATTCATAAGGAAATGGAAAGATTAGGGAAAAATTACATTAAGCCAAGTAAGCCAGACTCAAAGAAATACAGGCACCATGGTTTCCCTCATTTTTAATAACTAGAATATGTCCAGGATATTGTTAGGAGAGGATCACAATGGCTCAATAGGTAAGTGCATGTGACCATATAAAATGATGCTTCTCATAATGAACTCCAAGAAATGGAAATGAGTTGGTTTTTTAAACATTATTGAACTGCTTGCAGTTATTTCTTTTTTCTTTTCCCCCCCTTTGGTTTATTCCGTGATGTCACTGTTTTAGATTTTGGTACTCTTTGTCTTGTATATAAGTTTATCTGATTTGGGTAGCAGAAGGGGAAGCACAGAAACATTATTAGTTCAGCAGTGATACTCACTAGACACCATGTTGTAAATGAACCATACAACTTGAGGGAGAGGGTGGTAGGGAAGGGGTCAGTGGGAGAAAATAAGGGAGAGGGTCACACTGTTGAAAAATATAAAATACATAGTCAAAATTTAACCAACAATGGACTTAATGGATTTAAAAATAACCAATAAGTGGTAATGCAAACAAAATCCCAAAGTGATGCTTTCCCAACACGTTGGCATAATCACATAAAAAATGTATTGAGGGCTGGGAAGGTGGCTCAGTGGTAGAGCGCTTGCCTTGCATGCTTGAGGCCCTGGGTTCCATTCCTCAGCACCACATAAGCAGAAAAAAAAGCCAGAGGTGGCACTGTGGTTCAAGTAGTAGAGTGCTAGCATTGAGCTGAAGAGCTGAGGGACAGCGCCCAGGCCCAGAGTTCAGGCCCCACGACTGGACCCCCACCCCCGAAAAAAATGTGTTGAGCCAGGTATTGGTGCCTCATGACTGTAATCTTAGCTACTCTGGAGGCTGAGATCTGAAGATCACAGTTCGAAGTTTGCCTGGGCTATAAGTCCCCATGAGACTCTTATCTCCAATCAACACCAGAAAATCAGAAGTAGTGCTGTGGCTGTAAGTGGTAGAGTGTTCCTTGAGCAAAAGGGCCCTGAGTTCAAGCCCCATGACTGACAAAAGTATTGATATGCATTTCCTACTCTAGAGCTTGGGCAGCTTTAAGGCTGCCTAAATGGGAAAAAATAAAATGCAAACAGGTAAGATGAATGGGATACAGCCAGTACTTGACTTTAATGATGTTTGCCCATTCAGTTACTATGTCCACATAGAAAAGTGAAATCTCCATTTCAGGTTTCAGAGAACATCAACAACAAGACATGAGAGCACCATATTTATGAATAAAATTGTTTAAGGTCCTAAGTTTTGGAGTAGTTCAATATACTATTGTACTCAGAATATTTAGGTATTTACAGTAAAATCAAGTCAGCATGGATTTGCTTTAGATTATTCACGGCAAAATATTGTAAAACTTTTCTGAGCAGCCATGAAGTATTGGAGGATTTTGGTTTTGACAATAGTTTTTTTTTGTTGTTGTTTCAGCAAGAACTTCCACATAAGAATTATATGAGAAAGCAATTATAACATTTTTATGAGCTGATTTTCTTTCTCAACTTTGTTCTGGCTAACTTTCTGGGATCTAGCTTTATAGGAAAGGTTCTGAGTTGTTTTTTTTTTAAGTTCTGTATACAGCATATCAAGCTCATGACCTTTTTTGCAACTTTCAGAAATATAATATGAATGATATTGAGTGCGCCATCCTTTTTCTAAACATATTGCAACTAGATCTCAATGTATGCTCCACTAAAATCAGTGACTTTTGAACATTACAAAGAGTTCTACGTCCACAGAGGACAATTCTCTTGCTGAGGAGGAAGAAACCCTAAGTAATGTCAAGGGGTAATGGTCTCTGGTGGCCTTGAAACTCTCATTGGGAGTGTATCAAACTCAGCTTCAGACACAGAAATAGACAACATACTTCCTTCTTGTCATAAGAGAATTGGTGTCTTCAGACATCCATAGGAATAAATGACTTTAAACTGTATCTCTAAATGTTATCAACAGAAACTACTGCAGGAAACTGGTTTTTTGTAAGCTCTTTCTGCCAGCTTTATTTTTTCTTATTTTACAAGTTGGAATTTGATTCCTCTTTGATATAAAGTGAGATTTTTATCTTATATTTTTATTTACATAAGTATTTTTCTATATCCACTAATAGCCAATTTCTTGTGGGTATTCACAGAGTTAATATACCGAGGATGCTAAAGGCACCATTGAAATGAAGATATGTTCTTTGTGATTTTCTTATTTCTTGGATGACTGTCATACAGACAGTATTAAGAGGGAGGTAGAGAAATGCTCCAAACAAAAAAAAGACTTCAAACTTCAGGCTAAAGTGAAGTATTCCAATAGGGATCAGCTTGGGCATCAGTCAGAATCTGTTACAACACTGCAGATATTTTATGGACCGTCAAGTAAGTATTGATAAGTTGTCTTTAAACCATGTGGTGTTTTAACAAATAGGAATGGAATTAGTAACTACTGAACCCTTGTTATATGTCAGGTGTGTATGCACAACATCTTAACCCTGTCTGTGCTAAAAGTGTATCTAGTTACAAGGAGGGAAATAGCTGTAAGGGAGAAGAAATGGCTTGCACATTTACTCTCCCTTACAACAATAGAAGTAGAATTCATATTTGAATGTATACTTGAGTTCCATGTATAAGTAAGTCTAGTTAGGAGATTTAATAATATCAAAGAATTTAGCAAGGTTGACCATGGTGGTGCATACTTGTAACTACCTGAGAGTACACAGGAGGTAGAAATGGGAGGATAATGGTTCAAGACTTGCCTGGACAAAAACAACACCATACATCAACAAGGCCTTATTTCAAAACACAAGTCAGGTATGGTGGCACATGGAGGCTGAGTTAAGAGGTTCATGATCACAGGTCAGTATTGAGCATACCCCTTTATCTCCCAGACAATTAAAATATCAACTATTCCAAATACTCTTAAAAACCATCTGATTAAAAACACTGTTAAAAACCATCTGAACCATCTGATTAAGTTGATAGAAAGTTAAGTATACTTTACCAAAGACTTGTCAATGAATAGTTAACCATTTTTCTAACAGAAAACTTCATCCAGTGAGCAGGGAAGTTGCCAGAAAATTTCTCTAGCTCAGTGTCACAGAGACTATAGACCCAAGATGACCACGTTTTTTATGGTCTCTTGGTGGTAGATTCATAATCAATACCATGACTTTTCATATAGAGAGGATAAGAATGTCTGTGAAGTGATTTACCAAGAAGTAGCCTCAACTACATTTCCTCTTCCCTCTCCCCCGCCCCGCCCCCTGGCCTGAATTGTAAAGTTCATTTTTCGACATAGTGTCTTGTACATCTCATTGTTGCAATGGGTCAACCTGTATCCCTATTTAAACAATTTATTTTTTCCCTTCCACTTCCCAAATTATACAAGCATCAAATACAGTGAAAACTGGGGTTATGCGGAAGGGATGGTAGAGGAAAAACAAAGGAGGAGGCAACAATGCTTGATAAGAAATGCACTCATTACCTTGTTCATGTGATTGTAACCCCTCTGTACAGTATTTTCACAATAAAAAACAATTTTTTAGAAAAGAAGTAGCCTCAAAGTCCTGCAGGTTTTGTTGCTATCTCAAAGAATGTGTCACATTCAATCTGTTAGAACTCACTGAAGGGGAGACTAGGGAAGTCTGAAATATGAGCTTTCCAGGAAAATTAATTCGATTCTTTTTGGTGTATAGAACTGATGTAGCCCAAAGAGGCTGAACAGCTCACCTGTGTCTCATTCTATGTCATAATTCCTATATGTAGAAGTGCCTGACATGTCACAAATATTGAGTAAATATTAGTAGAATTCATGCATCAGTCTTTACCTTTATTTACGAAATTTGTGTAACTTAGTTTTAATTTTGTAGTATCAGAATTGAAGCACCACATAGAATTGTTAGAAGAAATTATGTGAAAACTCCTATCGGATGCACAGCACACTTGCCAGCACATTTTAGAGGTTGAGTAAATTATTGATGGCATAGCTTATTTTATTTTACATTCTATTTCCAGAAATTCAATAGTTAAAAAGACAATTATTCAATTAAAAGTATATAT